ATATTACTGGTGTTTAATTTATCTGCAACTTAACCAGGCTGATGAAAGTATACACAAAAATGAATCCTACCAAGACTCTGCTCGCTCCAAACTATGCAATATGGACACTAGACTCCAACAAGCAGAACAGGAGATAGTCCGTTTAGTGAAACAAGTCACTGGATTAATCAGTTAGTTACTGTTTCAGTTGAATTACTCTTTTCATTTGATTTATGTGTCAGATCCAAAATGAAAAACGTCCAAACTTGTTGAATATAAAGGACTTATTTAAAATTTGAAACTTAAATGATTTCCACACAATGTTCCTCACCAAATAATTTTCCTAGGAGACGATGAAGCTAATAAGAAAGAGCTACAAGCAGCACATGATTTGATCGCTCAATCTAACGAAGTAATATTAAAGCTCCAATCTAACGCCCATAGTATGGAGATCATATACAAAAGTATGATCAATCAATTTACTGAAGAAAAACAGTTTCAAGAGGAAATTTCTCGCATTCCGAAGTAACTCAGGAAAACGGGAATCTCTCTTGTCAAGGTGGAAGTGTACCTGATCTCTGAACTATCACAGGATATGGATAATTCTATTCACAGGATCAGCCGAAAGAATTAACAGCTCTTGCAAGATCTAGCTAACTTTGCAACCCAACAACACCTTAGCTCGAATAGAACTGTTATAACATCACTGGATTTGCAATAACCCTAACTTGATACTAACTTAACATCAGAGTTGAAAAATACGTATTTAACGTATTTTATAAAATATCAAAAAAACGTTAAATACGGCGTATTTTATTTTCGCTGAATAAAATTCGTTAAAATACGTTACAAGTGATTTTGTAGCATTAAGAGCTCCAATGAAATAATAAGTACTATTTCTAATTATACAAGTTAAAAGTTTGATTAAAACTCGCGTAGCTCTGTAGTTTATCACATCGCGTATGATTTAAGGGAACTGTGCACGTGCTAAAGCGTACCAAAGCGTGCAAATACGAATTATTTTAACTTGATACTAACTAACATACTCACATCGTATGATACAATCTCTAACAAACAAAACCTACAAGAACCAAGTATAAATGCAAGCATATTGTTTTGATAATCTTCTCGAAGTTTTGATAACGAATAGAAAGATAAATGATAGATATTGACGCCTAGAAGAGGACACGGCAAGGATATTTTTGTTAAACGTCTGCGATCACTGATGTTTGACAAACGGTCGATTTATGCTTATAAAGTTATAAAGTGGTACTTGATTAAATTACTCTGATGAAAATACACAAGGTGTAGTTTTCGTCCATCTTTGTAGCTTGATATGATCTCGTCATTATTTGGAAATATGGTTATAGAGACTGTTCACTCATGATATGAAACATTTAATTTCCGAGCACATGATGTGCATAATTTCCAACCGATTTGGTGGTAATAATATATACCTCCGAGTAAAATGAGCGAACAGTTTCTTCCGAGGAATAATGACTTTCGATTTCAAGTTCATCTGATTTCAAGTTCATCTAAAAGATGAATTATTGCGCTATTGTTAAATAGCCGCATAGTATTATATGTATGTTCAAAGTTTGATATCTCCAATAATAGCTGGATTTTGAGAATTAATACACGATAAAAGGTTACTTGATAAAAGTTACTTGATTGTTATATTAAGTGACTTCAAGTTATTTGTTTAAAGTGACTTGATTGTGTTATTAACTAACTTGGTAACTTGGTAAGGTTTATCCTCGTAGCAGGAAGGGTCATCAGATGTCTGACCACCGTGATGGCGTGTAGTCTACCAAGGAATTCGACCAGCTGCACGTATAACCGGAAACCGGAGGGTTATCCGGTATCAAAGCAAGAAACTTAGACAAACTGACTTTGAAGCTGGCAAACGTTTTCTCGGCTTTCACTTCACTCGGCACCTTATTCCACAGTTTGGATCCTTTTACTGCGAACGAGCTATCATACAGTGTCTGGTTTCTCATCGAACTCGACTTTGATAGAGAAGGAACAACTGCTTTAGTGCCATATCTGGATGTTTCCACAAACTCGATGCTACAGCTATTTGGAACAACGTTATGGTACGTTTTCCACATCACCAAGATGATGTATCTCTCCCTTCTCCGTTGCAGGGACATTAACTTCAAATGAGCTAGCCTCTCCCAGTAGTTTAAGCTGTATAGACCACCAATGCGGCTTGTAAAGGTACGCTGGACCCCCTCCAAAAGCTGAATCTCTGTCGTCTTGACTGGGTCCCACAGCGGACAACAGTACTCCAATAAGCTTCTGACTAGAGACTTGTAGAGGGTCATCATAACCACTTTATCCCGTGTCTTAAACACACTGAACACCCAAGACAGTTTACTTCTAGCTTTGGTGACCATATCCCCGACGTGTTTAGACCAGCTCAGATCGCTTGACACTTTTACACCAAGGTCTCTAACGTTTTCTACGGGATAAAGAGTGACGTCACTAGAAACATTGTAGAGGAGACTTTCTACGTAAAAGGGAAGTTCACTTGATAAGTTCCTCTTATTGTGTAGGTGGTTTAGGAGTTCGAACTTCTGCTCGTGTAACTTCATGTTGTTACATAGGGACCAATCTATAATGCTGTAAAGATCAGTCTGAAGAAGTTGGCAGTCTTCAAGGCAGCTAATTTGCTTGGAAACCCTAGTATCGTCTGCAAAGAAGCTCACTCTAGAATGCTTAACCACGTCCTCTAGGTCGTTGATGAACAACAGGAAGAACAGTGGACCTAAAACACTGCCCTGAGGCACCCCGCTTAACACCTTAGCGCTGTCTGAATGCACACCGTTCACGACAACAACTTGGTCACGACCAGTTAAGAAGGATTGAATCCATCTTAAGAGCTTCTCCTGGAATCCATATCTTTTCAGCTTAAGAAGAAGTAGATCCAAGTCGACTTTGTCAAAAGCTTTCGCAAAGTCGAGGTAGATTGAATCGGTGTCATTTCCTTTCGTGAAACCTTCGTAAATGTCGTCAAAGTGCTCCAACATTTGGGTGAGACAGCTTCTATTTGACCTGAATCCGTGCTGTTTGTCCGATAACAGATCATTAGAATCAAGGTACTGGGTCATGTGCTTTCTGACGACCCTTTCATACACCTTCACTACGTGAGAAGTCAGCGTCACAGGTCTATAGTTTACAGCTTCACATCTGCTACCTTTCTTGAAGAGAGGAGTGACATATCCGGTCTTGTAGTAGCTTGGGACGATGCCAGACGACATAGATTCTGTCCAGATGAGATAGATAGGGACCGCTAAGCTAGAGGTACATCTTTTCAGCAGGATGGAGGGGATGCCATCGGGTCCCGGTGCAGAGTCAAGCTTTAGTTCCGATATAGCGTCCTTTACGTGGTCGAGAGTGAGGACAGGTTCTTTATCTCGACAAGTAATGGGCGGCACCGCAAATTCAGGCATGGATTTGTAGGGGCAGTTAGGGTCACTATAGACTGAGCAAAACTGAGTCTGGAGGATGTTCGCAAGATCCTTCTTCTCTGTGACAAGCTTATTTTCACTATTAAGAAGAGTTGTGATGTTTTGCTTCACTTTGGAGAACGATTTCGCGTAGGAATAAAAGTATTTCGGATTAGCTTTTATCTTATTCACCGCTCTCCTTTCGCCCTCATCAAAATGGTGTACTATAGCTTCCTTAATCTCAAAGCTGATTAATCCGATTTCGTCTTCAAGCTGTTTCATTCGAGCATGGTCGCCGCTGCACTCTGCCGCTGAAAGACGATTCTTGAGTCTGGACTTCTTCCTTCTCAGCGAGTTGTAGACATTCGGTTTTCCTTTAGGAGGTCGTTTCCTTGGGACATTTTCAAGACAAACGTTTAGCACTTTACGTGTAAAATTTATCGGAAATTCTTCAAAGGTAGTGGAACCTCGAACCTGTTTCCAGTCCACACTACTGAGAGCTTCGTTAAGTTCCTCGAAATCAGTATGGTTAAAATCTAGAGCCCGAAAGTTCATTTCGTCCAGATACGTGAGCTTAGCTTCCTCAAGTAATGCAGGGTTAAAAGAGAGGAGAGCATTAACCATGTTAAGTGACTTTGAGAAATACAAGTTACTCGATAAAAGTAACTTGATTGTAGTATATTTTAGTGATTTTGAGTTATTTGTTAAAAGTGACTTGATTGTAGTATCAAGTGATTTTGAAGAATGCTAGTTACTTGTTAAAAGTGACTTTGAAGATTACAAGTAATTTCATAAACGTGACTTGATTTTCAAGCATATGTTACCATGATGCCTATTATTTAATAGGAATATTCATCAACATCACTTAATGGTACTCATAATAACAGGCAATTTTGTCCTGAGTAATATTGCAAATCAATATATATATATGAATATGATGCGAATTTTTTTATTGGCATTAATTTAGACGAAAAACGTCATAGTTTATAAATACATGTGTGTAAATTTTGTGTAATTTTGTGTAAGTTTACATATATTTATCCGGTTACAATTTTACTGACGAGAAAGATAATCAGTCTAAATTAATGCCAATAAGAGTATGTTTTGAAATTTCCAATATACTTAAAAGTCGAACTATGATACTTGCTAAATGTCTTATACATTATAGTGAATATCATATCATGTGATCGTATGCTCCGATTTCCATGCTATGCTATATATTTATTGATATCTTTGTTAACCAGACAAAGAAAAAAGAAACAAAAAAACTTTTAAAAAGGACACCCATCGTTTGCAACCCATGTAACGTTTTAAACGTTGCAAATTTGTTTTTGAGTCCGGAAATTCTTGTTTTATTTTGTCAGGAATCTAAAATACACTTGAAATAGTAATTTATGTAAATAGCTATATTAGTATATTGGTTGAATGAGATTTAAAATCAATAAAATGTATCATGCTCATAGGCATAACTGTGTTCATCAAATAGATGATCAATATAAGTCCAAGTACCAACATCATAATTTTAAGCCAAATTTGCTGAACTTAAAAAACTTAAAATACTTATTATTATCACTCCGGCTTGCTGGTGCTTCTCGAGCCATAGTTTGAGCAAACAACACAAGGATTGTTCCTAACGAAAGGGACCATCTGGACCGCGTTATCATTGCTTACAGTTATACCAGCCACGATCCCGGACTCATTGTTTGGGATCGACCTTACTTGTTTAGCAAGCCGTTTCATCATTTTAGGAGTGAGGACATATATAAGAGGATCTGTTAGAGTGTTTAAGTAAAGGAGAACCTGCGCAGACCATTTGAGCGGACATGTTCCAGTCCTTTTGACAATATCTATGATAATGAACGCTGGAACCCACGATAGAGAGAAGATAACAATCATTATAACTGCTCTGATAAGGAGACTTTTGTTCTTCTTAGTTCCGACTCGCTCGCTCCTGCACATTCTCCACGACATAGCAGAGTAAGCCACAATGTTGACCGCCAGTGTTCCTAGGCCACAGAACGCGGTGGGGAAATGATAGAAGATACTGTGTCGGAGCCACTCAGCAGGTTCACAAACACTACCAGCAGAGTAGTTGACAACAGAGCCGACCTTAGCTATCTCCTGGTAAATCACGATAACGATTGTAACAGATAAGGGAAACAGCCAGCATAACAGGGTGAGTAGATGTTGTCTGCGGTGATGAGCGTGGGTTTTGTAGCTGAAAAGTGCAAATTGGTTTAAAGTAAGGTCAAAGAATAATGGCATTGAGCAGCTTATCTTTAAGTCTTATCTTTAAGAGTTCTGTAAGGGTAAGGAAACCAAGGAAACCAGGGAAACCAAGGAAACCAAGGAGACCAAGGAAACCAAAGAAACCAATGAAACCAAGGAAAGAGGATCGAGAGAAACAGAGCTGGATCAAGGGAATAAAAGGCCGGGAGCAAAGGGATTAAAGGAGTCAGTGGGATTAAGTGGATCAAGATGAAATGGGTCAAAGGGAGAAAACAGGGAAATCTCAAATTATGACAGTCAGTTTAATTATCCAAATTAGAAATAAGCACCCTGCACCAACCTAAAAGGATAGAAAATAGCAGCTAGTCGGTCGGTTGTGATAGGGAGTACTGACAAGAAGTTGGCTGCCGGCAGAATGGATGCCAGATATACTCCAGTTTCGCACAATTGTTTAATAGAAACTGTACCAATAAAACCTGAAAATGTATTAAGTAGCGTGGCAGAAATAAAAAATGATAGAAATAATAATGTGTTACGATAAAAAATTTATATATTTACTCAGAATTGTGTAGACATCAGATTAAAGAGGACCTGAAACATGTTAGTCTCACTTACTGCGACCCCTGAAGATCACCCCAAACAGTGCCATTACTGCGTCAGATACCGCAAGATTCATGTACGCTTGATGGTACGATTTCTGATACTTTCTTTTCCAAGTAAAGTAAATCAGTACACAAATATTGATCAAGAAAGCTACGGTCATAATGCTAATGAAGGTTAGAGCAAACTTGCATTTTTTGCAATCCAGGTCAATCTTCAGTCCGAGTGGATTATGGTATGTTTTCATCCTAAATATTTTGCTCTTGGTTAATACAAATGTAAATCAAATATCAAACTTACTGGGCGGTGCTCAGCCTGTCATTCCGCCGAATCTTTATAGCCTGGGTCCCCTTTGACTTTATAGCCTGGGGTCCCCAGGTAAATATAAAACATGTTTTTAAATTTACCCACAGAACTGAGTATATACGGATACCCAGGGTCCCAGGCTGCAGCTACAGCTGGTCAGCTCTTACTTATACATGGCCCAGGCTGAACACTACAGGGGGGGGGGGGGGGGAGGGGGCAAACACCTACGTACTGGGTATTATTTAACATATTACTTAGTTATGTTTCATATTTGAGACTTTTCAATTGGCATACTTTAACTATTGCCATCATTTGAAAATTTGAAAATTTGAAAATGTTCAAAATACCAGGATTAGAACCTGTAAGACTGGCCTCCGCCCTCCAGCTCGCCATTTTTGACATTCAACATTTAAGCAAATTGATGATGTTCAAAGGGTGCAGGATGTTCAGCTCAACAAAATGCCGGTGAAAATTATTTCGTAGGCCCTCCAGATCCAGTCTTAACCTTAAATTAGGCATAAGTCATTAGCTGAAGTAGCTCTGATACCTCGGATTAGAGCCTGTAAGACTGGCCTCCAGCTGCAGGTTTTTCAGTTCGACAAAATACCGGTGGAAATTATTTTAGGCCCTAAAATTACTTCTCCAGATCCAGTCTTAACCTTCAATTAGCTGAACTGTGCATATATATTATATATCAAAAAACAAGTAGTATAGTGAACAGAAGGATAAAAAACGCGGAAACAGTAATCGTTGAAAAATTAAAGACGAGATCCTGACTGCAAAGTCAGGTCTCATAATTGTAAATTATTGTTGATTCTAACTAATGATAAATCGTTGTAATTATGCCTGCTGGTTGCTCCTTGTAGCAAAAACTAGTTAAGAAAATATGACGCAGATGGCACATGAAACTGGAAACCAAGCCTGAAAACTAAAACTAAAAGTCCCACCTATGCAAACTGGACACTAACAAATATCAGATAGGTGGGAAATTTGTTACAGCTGTTCACCATGCAGAGTCTCAGTAACCTGGGGCCATGAATTCATAAAGCGATGAAATTGGAAGCAGATGTAATATACAAACAGCATAGTATGGTTTGATCAGTTCAATTGCACTCCGGACCATTCTCTGCTAGTAGTCAATAACTACACTGTGGTTACTGTAAGTGTAAGGTATAGTAGAAGATATTATTATTAGAAAAGGAGCGTCAGAATTAAAAGCTTTAAGCCTTTCTTATCACCTTACACATGTATATTGTACATTACACCGCGACCGTCAGTAAGTAAACATTACAAATACAATAGTACAATGTGCATATTGCATATCAATTATTATTTATATTGGTCGAAAGATCGGCTGAAAGAAAGATATAGCAATACCATAAGTATTACCATAAAGCAGTAATCATATGTTAATGTAGTCAATGCAAGTTGTGCGATGGATCGTCCTCAAAGTATTTCAGATCAACCAACCTTCCGATCGAAAAAAAGGGGAAGAGACGCCACCATGCACCAAATCTATAAGTAAATATAATTATAGATAAGTATGTTAGCCGTATATTAGGATATCAGAGATGAACGCGGTTAGGATATGAAACTGGGACAATGCTGATCACCGTATGAACAAACAAAACTGCAACTTATCGATGATATTAATATCACACAGACAGAAAGATAAGATTCTAATTTGGTGCCGAGGCGGCCAATTGATGGCAGGTGGGGTTATTATAGCTGTGGAAACAGCACAGCTATTAGTCCATGGTAGCTGTACGATTATACAGAATTTCATCAATTTGTACAGGACAGTCACAAAAACAATATTATGCTTAATATCATGCTAGTGAATATGTTCCAGTAATTTCTCCATCGAAGTTTCGCCATGATCGATATTGGATCGTTTCCAATAAATAAATAAACCAATCGTTGTGAATCATATTGAAATTACGGCCTGAAATACTTATGAAGCAGGTGGTTGAAAATTGCATTGTCGATCTACAGGTCCAGCAGAACAAATTGATTACTAAACACGATACCTCAATATTCTTCAGCTCTGTTCGGGCAGACAACCGACACAAACAGTCCACTAATTTTTGGGTAGCCCTGCCACTAACCACCTCCAGTACAAATTGAGGAATCATCCCACAAAATTGAAGAACGATGATCAATAATCTGTTGATCGAGCATTCAAGTTGCGTAGTTTCATTTTGCGCCAGGCTTCTTGGATATTGCCTATCCATTTGTTGGTACTATGGATGATGGATATTGCCAACTGCCAGTCATTATCGAAGTACACTCTCACTGCCGTTTTAAAATTGTTAGCTCTCGTTATCGCACTGCTTATCTGTTGATAATTACACCGCTACTGCGCTGCTAGCTTGTTGTGCTGATCTTAACGATGGCAGATTTGGACTTGGAAAGTATCAATTACATGTGGAATGAGATGTTCACCTGGAGCAAAGAGACTCTGAAGAAATTTGGCAAGCCTTACGGAAAGTTAAAGGACATTGCGGACGCTAAGAACTTCAACAGACTGAATAAGCCGGAGATTGTCGATGTGTGTGGTCGATCTTTTGAGTATACGAACTATCTTATGGAGACCGTTGAAGCGTATATATAGCGTATAATAAGAATGTGTTGACTAGACTTCAGGGTCAGTTAATTGAGAAGCAAGAGCAGGTTATCAGTGTTCAGGCCGAGCTATCAGCTTGCAAGACTGAGCAACTAGAAGCGATGAAGAAAACTGTGTCAAGTTCAGTTGCTGATTCAGTGAAAGCGGAGTTCCAATCTTTATACAGCTCAGTCGTTCAAAGTTTGCCAGCACAGTCTCCAGTAATCAGCCCGGAAGCATTGACGTCTGTAGTCAAGACTATTGTTGCAGAGGAGGACCGCAGCAGGAACCTTCTTATCTTCGGTCTGCCTGAGGAAAAAGAAGAGAAGCTTACCTGAGGACCCCAGGCTATTATGTTCATTAACATAATATTTTTGGCGGAATGACAGGCTGAGCGCGGCCCAGTAAAGAGAAGCTCGAATCTCAAGTCAGTGAAGTTCTGGAAACTATTGGCATAAAGCCAAAAGTAGAGGCTCAGAGAATAGGAAAAAAGAAAACGGTTGACTCAACGCGACCAGTTAAAGTTACCACCTCAAACTCGCTCATCGTTAATCAGATTCTGAGGAATGCCAGGAACCTGCGGCAGAGTGAGAAGTTTAAGACAGTTTTCTTGAGCCCTGATTGGTCTGTCGAACAGAGGAAGCTCCGGAAAGATCTGGTACAGGACATGAAGAAGCGGGCACTTGCAGAACCGACCAAAAAGTTTTACATAATAAGGACGGGCAAATTTATTGTGCCGATGAGAGCAACGGTTGACAACTTTTTTTGAGTGTGTGTTTCGTGTGCTGTTTTGATATGTTTTGGACCATGTTTGTGAGGGACATATTGGTAGCTGTAGTTATTTTCTATACAAGACCGAATAGTCTTCAGGCTTTAGCTGAGCTTTAATTTCCGACGCAGATTTGTTGAGCCACTAGTCCATGATGGGGAATATAAACAATATATTTAACTCTTAATGGTCATAGCTACTTTTAATTTTATGAATCATACAGATTTTAAAGTACGCTGGTACGATTTTTATCTGTTATTTTTTGCTGTTCAATATCTATTTTAGTAAACATTAACTGGGGTAGTAAAACCCAGTTCCCAATCAAATCAATCAATACGTTGGCACTGACTTTAAGTCGTTAACAATTGGCTAAAAAGTGATTATGTAATATGCAGATTGCAAACGGCCCCTTAATCTTTTAAATATAACAAGAAACTCCAGTGAAGTTTTGACATTTAGTTTATTTTTAGGGAAAGATTATATTAGACTTGGGCGTTGTTTTTAAACTATCCTTATTAATTAATTCATTGAACAAATAAAATTATTTAATTTCATCTTCTCAATTTCGATAGGAATATGTCTTGTCTATAAATCATGATTGATCACAATTCATCAACAAATAGAAATCACCAAAAATAACAACTTGCACAAAACGTAAGTGAAACTTAAACAAAGTTTATACTCCTTAAAGTTAAAGTTAAAGATACTTCAACAATACTGTCTGTGTTTTACAGAGCAAGGAAACTAAGATATTGTGATCTCAAACACAAAAACCTCAGCTAATATCACACAAGAAACAGCGAAAATTACAAAAACTCTCAGGGAAATCGTCTATTACGGTTATGACTTTATCGTTATTCATCCGGATATGTTGATATCGGTATAAAACGGCTGGTTAAAAGGTTGGTTAAACTTGGCAAATGGATCGGTTTTAAATTGCAATAAGCTATCTGTATGCTGTAAACTTTGCCTTAGGTGGTGCGATTAATCATAATTGCTGTTATAATCTCAATCCTTGTTCAGCTTGTTGTCCAGTCGCAATTTTGAAAGCTAAATGTATTGTTTTAAAATTTACAAAATGGTAATTTTTGTCGCCTATCAAACCCCATTTCCACACTTAAATCGAAAGTATATTTTCGTCGTAAACTTTTGATTCATTAATCAAGGTTTATACACTGTTAAACATATAGAATCTAAATAATCATTGTAAACGCAAATAATCATTGTAAACGCAACTGCTTCCACTTAAAAACACCTGAAAAGTTCAGAGCTCATTTAAGTATAACATACCGATCAAAGTAAATTCTAATTATTCGTTTATATTCTAACGATTTTAATACACTGCTAGTCTAGTTAATAATTCATTATAATATAACAGTTTACTAAATAGCTTTAAGAGTGTTTCGAGGTCAACAGTCAGATGCTGAGTGATGAAGTTCAGGAGATTCTAGGGATGGAAAGTACTAAGTATTAAATCCACTGTCCATGATGACCTGAATCTAGTCTGATGAGAGGACCCAGCCTCACTGCCCACCGGACCCACTGCTACCAGGATAAGAGTAAGCGTAGGCGAAAGCAGCACCAGCCATTGTCGATGTGACGGCGTACTTCGCAAATCCATTGCTGGTTGGGGCATCTGTAAGGAGTACGCGTTATATATTGAGGGTGTGATTTTAGTATTAATAAGACATGCTTTTTGAGTTTGAAGCACTTCTCATAGTTACTTTGTCAACATTGCTTCACAAACTCTAAGTATGCAAAATAACCTTACTACACGAACAAACCATGCAGATCAAAATACACAAAATACTCATGCAGTCTAACAACTAAATATTAAAGCAGGAAAGTAAGACAAAGTTCGTTTCAACTCGACCTCTCTCACGTACAATTACATACTAGGCTTGTAATACGCCAGCGAGTAGATCAGGTTCTGCTTCCACTCCGCGTCGTACGGGGGATATCTGAGGTTGTTGACGGACTCCATGCCTATTGGCTTGTGTAGGACGGATTTGTGGTGACTGAACTGGTCAAATGTGGACTTGCCGTGATACTTTCCTGGGGTTATAGTGATTGAGATACCGTTACACCAGAGTGGTACACCAGAGTGGTACACCAGAGTGGTACACCAGAGTGGTACACCAGAGTGGTACACCAGAGTGGTACACCAGAGCGGTACACCAGAGCGGTACACCAGAGTGGTACACCGGAGTGGTACACCAGAGTGGTACACCAGAGTGGTACACCGGGGTGGTACACCAGAGTGGTACACCAGAGTGGTACAGCAGAGTGGTACACCAGAGTGGTACACCAGAGTGGTACACCAGAGTGGTACACCAGAGTGGTACACCAGAGTGGTACACCAGAGTGGTACACCAGAGTGGTACACCAGAGTGGTACACCAGAGTGGTACACCAGAGTGGTACACCAGAGTGGTACACCAGAGTGGTACACCAGAGTGGTACACCAGAGTGGTACACCAGAGTGGTACACCAGAGTGGTACACCAGAGTGGTACACCAGAGTGGTACACCAGAGTGGTACACCAGAGTGGTACACCAGAGTGGTACACCAGAGTGGTACACCAGAGTGGTACACCAGAGTGGTACACCAGAGTGGTACACCAGAGTGGTACACCAGAGTGGTACACCAGAGTGGTACACCAGAGTGGTACACCAGAGTGGTACACCAGAGTGGTACACCAGAGTGGTACACCAGAGTGGTACACCAGAGTGGTACACCAGAGTGGTACACCAGAGTGGTACACCAGAGTGGTACACCAGAGTGGTACACCAGAGTGGTACACCAGAGTGGTACACCAGAGTGGTACAGCAGAGTGGTACACCAGAGTGGTACACCAGAGTGGTACAGCAGAGTGGTACACCAGAGTGGTACACCAGAGTGGTACACCAGAGTGGTTAATAGAAATATCAACTAATGTCCATATTGCAGGTGAACACTAAACAGTTAGATTACAGATATCTTCAGTTAGATGCATAGGATATATTATTAAGTAAAGTAGCTTATATTATTAAGTAAAGTAGCTTATATTATTAAAGTAGCTTATATTATTAAGTAAAGTAGCTTATATTATTAAGTAAATAATAAGAACAGGAAATTACCGATGCCACTGTGACCAACACCTCCGAACGGTAAGGTCGGTATCATCATGTGCATCAGACAGTCATTAACATCCAGCGTACCTGCTGACACCTTCTTCTTTACCTGAACATTTAAACGGGTTAATGCCAGTCTCTGGCTCCATAACATGAAGACCTTGTTTTAATTTGTATTGAAAAGCTCTAATATGTCACTTTGTAGCTGATTAAGAGTCACGCAATACGGATAACGGATGTGGAACTAAAACTTTAGTCCTAGATATAGAATCGTTCATATCTCACTCAGTTTTTAAAAAATCCTCGATTTTACAATTTCAGCACCGATCCTAACACAAAAACACAAAAACATGAATATCTCATACCTCATCGACAAGCTTAGCGTTGCTAGAAAACAGGTAACACACAAGGGGCTTCTCTCGGGTCCTGAAGAACTTAAAAACGCTCTGAATGTCCTCGTATTCCATGATGGGCAGGATGGGCCCGAATATCTCGTCCTGCATGACTTTAGAGTCCAGAGGAGTGTTGGTGAGGATAGTCGGGGAAATGTAGTTAGTTTCATCGTTAGTTTTACCTCCTGATAAGTTATATGGTTGCTCAATATTAAGCAATATTGATAAGAGATATCTGGTAACTAGGTGATGTTATCAGAAATTTATATGAAGATATTTTTGGTCACTGTCACCAACATGTTAACCAACATTGGCTAAAACATGGTGCCATTTAGGTTTTGTTACTTGGTAATACACAATGAAGTTTCAGTTCTTATCAAAGATCAGTCAGTATAATTATATCTATCACTGAAACTGAAACACAATTACCCACCAATAACGACAGTTCCATCATTCATAAGAGACTTTAACCTGTTGTAGTGACCTTGGTTGATTATCCTGAAATTAGGTATTATTATTTAAGTCAGTCACGTACTTTTAACTTTAAACGTCCCTCAAAAATGTGGAATCCCTCAAAATATACGAACAAACGTTAACGGTAAAGCTCAATTAATTAAAATTTTGCCCTTCAATTTAACTCCAATTGGGCGGCCAGTGGGGACTCTGAAAACAGTGTGTGTTGACCTGTTGGAGAGTTTACTCTCCTGAAAATAATAACACCCCAATAATGACACGTGACTCTACCACGTGACCCTACGTTACCACGTGACCCTAAGTTACCACGTGACTATACCACGTGACCCTAAGTTACCACGTGCTCCTACCTTGCGAACCCGTCGCTCTGTTCCGGATCCTCTCCGTACATGTCAGTAATGTGCTGTTTCATCCTCTCAATCAGAGTTGGCATCTGCTTCTTGTGACAATATATGTAGTCCGGAGCTATGCAAGTCTGCCCAGCGTTCACACACTGTTCAAAGTACAAAATTGTCAATCAAACGGCGTTTCTTAAAACTCTTATTTTTAAAATATAAGAAAAGCGGTCTAAGGAATTAATTCCAGAATTGAATGACAAAATACCAAACGAATATTACCAAACCTTGCCCCAAATGATTCGTTTGGCGGCCGTGTCAATGTTAGTATTCTCATCCACAATAACAGGGCACTTTCCCCCCAGTTCCAGGGTGACGGGGGTCAGGTTTACTGCGGCAGCTTTAGCTACTATCTTACCCACTGATACGCTCCCTGGAGAGGAGTTACTTGAGGGGTGTATTCGAAGGGGTGTATTTTATTAAAGGGGTATATCGGCCCCCCCCCCCCCCCCCGTATATCTGATTACGCATGAATATTGTCACTGATTGAGGTATTTTAAAGATTGAGAACGGTTCATTTGAAAGACAATTTGAGACAATATGACCCCCCGTGAATGAGGAAGAATTAAAGATAAATTACCTGTAAAGAAGATGTGATCCCACCTAAGTTTTAATAAAGCCGTAGCAGTATCAACCCCTCCCTCCAAAGTTCTGAAAATACAGTTTTAATTAATTGAAGCTAATTAGTAATTAGGCTTACTAAGGTTATTCATTGAAAATCTTGGATAAGTGGACTAATCTTCAATCTGGTGTTAACTACATACCCTACATAGTATCTTCCTAGTGATCTAAGTCTAAATAAGTGTGGATTATCCAGTATACCTGTAACACAGAGGATCCAGAAATAGGTCGAAGTATTTCTTCATGACAGCACTAGCAGTGGGTGCTACCTCGCTCAGCTTCACCACAGCACAGCACCCAGCACATATTGCTCCTGGAGGGGCTACTGTCAGCATTTTATGAGCGTCAGGGATTTTTGATTCTTGTGAAACACAAGGAAATGTTCTTAAAAGGGAATAGAACTTTTGCCAGAATATTCTGATGATTTTGGGGCCGTGATTCGAACTGCTCTCGGGGTATAAATCAATTTTTAAGAACTTGTGGAGATTTTAATCTTGTACGATTATTTACCAAAAGCCTAAGTGATGACAAGAGAGGAATGTTACAAGTTTCCAACACATGATTCAAAATAAAATATTTGAATTACAGTACGCCCAAAAAAGGAGGATTAAGATAACCGATAATTGAATCAAGGCGATCTTTCATGTTCGTCAAATCCCCATTATAACATTTACCGCCGATCATCACGAATATCAAAAGCCACTTGGAAGTTGATTTTCTGTACTTCCATAATCCATACACCATACACGTATCATTCCAACCGTTTTAATTCCAACTTGGTTGTTCCCCGGGCCGATCGTTAATACATGAAACAAATTTAACATAATCGCATTTTACGGCTCACCGACGAGTGGACTCAGGGCAAGTTGAACAGGGTAATTCCAGGCCCCGAATATAACGATAACCCCCTTGGGTTCCGGACACAGATAAGCCTGGTCTATCTTGTTCAGAAGGTCCTACAGTTGGGGGTATTGGGTATTATACAATGTAATAGTTGGTTAGTACCTTGGTAAACCCAGCTGATAGTCTTGCTTTTTAGTTACAGAAATAAACCTCTACCGCTCGAACAACACCAACGAAAGTTTCGAAACCTCTTACCAGTGTGCTAATCAGTAAATGAATCTGTCTGCTGGGTTTACCATGGTAAAAATACAGAAATGTAATCAATTATCCTAATTACCTATGAGAGGCACCAGCGTACATTGCATAGGATAATTCCAGGTTCCTATAACTAGGATCATCCCCTTTGGCTCTGGGTGTTGGTACGCGTAATCTAACTTGTTCACTAAATCCTATGGATCAGCGAGTCAACATTCGATTCAAATCATTAAATACCTGTTAGATAATTATATTACCAAACACAAAAATCAAAACTTGATCACGAAAATCACACGATAAGGCTCCCCTCGGCTCCCTAAAATATTACCCACAGACACAGTACTTAGTGGGTCACTAATAGAAGTTGTGACTACTGTGACAGCAGGTACAACTACTATCAGTGACCCGCTATCACAACACAGAAATACTCACGGTCTTAACATACTGATCTGCCATCCAACCCTTGAGGTGCTTCATAGCGTACCCCAGTTCACTCTCAGTAAACTTTAGATCCGTACCGTTGGTTTCCATCGGGTGCTTCCTCATGTCTTTATGTACTGCTTCTAAATACTCCTGAGAAGATACGTGTTGGTGATGGTGGGGAGGTGGTTTGTTTTGGCACGTGACAGTGATTCTGAAGTTGGTGTGAACTGAAGGAGGACGAGCTAATCACTGGCACGTTTCAGCGATAATGTCAGCGAAAATCTATCAAAAGATAATGGTCACAATCCCAAATTTCAATTCTTTTTCCAATTAACAATTTAAGACTATTAAGAGTTCTAATAAACATAGTGGGCGAAGCGAAATCATATTGGTGTTGCATATAAATCAAGTTTAATAAGATGTTAATTAAACAGCTAGATTAATTGAATTGAACCTTTTCCATAGCTTTAATCATAGCAGCACACTTTTTAAGCTGTCCGATCCTATACTCGTAAGGCAAGGTGACCCCTGAGTCGAATGAAGTCTGAAGCTCATCCTGGATTTTCTGATATTCTTCTTCTAGAGACATTTAGTAGCTAGCAATTGTTGTACGTTTAATTAAAAGACCCACTCCGAGGTGATACTGACATAAATAAGTGACAAAGATTAGGAACTGAAAAGATCAAAGAATAGTAATAACGAGAGGGGTGATAAAATCACAACATTATTGGTATTTGAATTTTTGTTAAATCAGGAGTGAGTTAACGAGGAAATAACCATGAACAAGGGAGCTGTCTAAAACGTATAAGCGCATGATACACCAAAGATAAACGAGTGAATTATCTCTAACAATTTGGCAAAACATGTGATAAAGATTTTCCACAATATCGTGTTACAACTTTATACTTTACAGTGTCATTCTTCAGGCCCTTTCGACTGTTCTCGAATGACAGGGAATTTTATTTGAACGAAAAACATACATTATAGAGCGTGGCATAACTCTGATTAGTCTTGAGTGATAAAACGATGGACTTGTAAAAATAATTTTAGAATGAAATAACAATACTGTTCATTGTATAGTTTCAAAATTTCACTTTAACAAAATCATCGTCTGGTAAAGTTTTAGATACAGTAAAACCCCGATTTACCGCAAACCCCGATTCAATGTGAACAAACAAAACCCCGATTTACCGCGGCTATTCCCTTTCCCCAAACCCCGGCGAAAAATCGAGGTTTTACTGTGCTTACTTTCGATCAAAGCTTTGATTCAGATTATCACTTGAAAGAAAACTGAATCAATCTTATATCAAATTTTCACAAATATCATATACCAAGACCTCATTTTAAATTCGAAGACAAAGCAACCTGAATGAGCAAAATGAGTGAATTCATGAAATACATTATACCGCAAAAACTTGGCAAAACTTGGCAAAACTTGGAAAAACTTGGCACGTGCCCGTGTTATCTAAATGAAGTGTTTTGATAAAAAGTCTCTCTTACGGCGTGTATCTACTTACCACTCATATCACTCATGGATACTGGCAGATATCGACTTAGCAGTGAGATAACATCACATTTATTACATGCTGTAAAATTGTCACTACTTCACGGGTCTCCTTTTAAAGTGCGACTTTAACACATCGTCCATTCCTTGACTAAATTTTGCTGAAATACAACAATAATGCAGAGCAAGTTATAGTATCGTCCATTTTACCAGGGGATAAAACGTGTAACTGTTCATTAATGCGACTCATAACGTGGGAACATAGTTGAAATATTTGGCCAGTTGGTAGATCACCGACCGGCTATAAGCCGGCTTATAGCCGGCTAAAATTTTTATAGCCGGCTATAAGCCGGCTTATAGCCGGTTAGTAGCCGCTTACATTTGTTGTTGAGCGACGGCTATTAGCCGGTTATAAGCCTGCTATTAGCCGTTTTGGTATTAAAAGTGGTTATAAGCCGGCTATAAGCCGGTTATAAGATATTAACTCAACTACATCGTACTGAACGATAGTCAGGAGCCGGCTATGATCTACCAATTTCCCAAATATCTGATACTAGAATGGATATTGTAACAAAACTACAAGGTATCTAAATAATCTAACCTATATTGTATTGTAACAAAACTACAAGGTATCTAAGTAATCTAACCTATATTGTATTGTAACAAAACTACAAGGTATCTAAGTAATCTATCCTATATTGTATTGTAACAAAACTACAAGGTATCTAAAGAATCTAACCTATATTGTATTGTAACAAAACTACAAGGTATCTAAATAATCTAACCTATATTGTATTGCAACAAAACTACAAGGTATCTAAATAATCTAACCTATATTGTATTGTAACAAAACTACAAGGTATCTAAAGAATCTAACCTATATTGTATTGTAACAAAACTACAAGGTATCTAAAGAATCTAACCTATATTGTATTGTAACAAAACTACAAGGTATCTAAGTAATCTAACCTATATTGTATTGTAACAAAACTACAAGGTATCTAAATAATCTAACCTATATTGTATTGCAACAAAACTACAAGGTATCTAAATAATCTAACCTATATTGTATTGTAACAAAACTACAAGGTATGTAAAGAATCTAACCTATATTGTATTGTAACAAAACTACAAGGTATCTAAAGAATCTAACCTATATTGTATTGCAACAAAACTACAAGGTATCTAAAGAATCTAACCTATATTGTATTGTAACAAAACTACAAGGTATCTAAATAATCTAACCTATATTGTATTGTAACAAAACTACAAGGTATCTAAATAATCTAACCTATATTGTATTGTAACAAAACTACAAGGTATCTAAATAATCTAACCTATATTGTATTGTAACAAAACTACAAGGTATCTAAATAATCTAACCTATATTGTATTGTAACAAAACTACAAGGTATGTAAAGAATCTAACCTATATTGTATTGTAACAAAACTACAAGGTATCTAAAGAATCTAACCTATATTGTATTGTAACAAAACTACAAGGTATCTAAATAATCTAACTTATATTGTATTGTAACAAAACTACAAGGTATCTAAAGAATCTAACCTATATTGTATTGTAACAAAACTACAAGATATCTAAATAATCTAACCTATATTGTATTCGATGAGTCCCAACTCTGTTAGACAGGATTCTTGGAGCAAGCACACCAGTGTCAGGTTATTGCAAATATACTTCGTTAGTATCACCTGATAAATATCATCTTATATTTAAACAGAATTAAAATTAATCGTAGGGAAACAAACCGGTTGATCGAGTATGGCATGTTTCCAATTTCCATACGATCACCCACGATTATATCCATGTATGTACCTGGTTCCACTACAGTAATTAAATGAGTAATTCAATCCTTGCTCAGGCACCCCGCACAACTAACAGTAAGGTTACTTGCAACCAGAACGGTACTTACAGTGCCGTTGTCGAGATGGACCGAAGAGAAAGACTTGCTGTCGTAAAATGAGAAAGACTCGGGCGTGGTGTAGATGTTTGAAACGTCTGCCACCAAGTCCAACATATCACAACACATCTCGTACTTCTGCAGGATGAAAATATAACGTTATATTATTATTATTTAAAGTACATTGGTTCTTAAATTTTTATGAGATCCCAGTTTATATATTTAAAAAAAAACCTTCTGCTCTGAGGAGGAGAGAAAGTTTTTGTGGAGAGCCGCTCAGACATGGGCACCGTATTGTGTAAATTATTTAGGTATATTTTATGCAATATCTTTGTCGCATACGAGCGGGGTAGTAAATATTGTGTTTCGTTTCGTTTCGTTTCGTTTTCGTTATTAATAATGTTATGTTTTTTTGATAATGATAGGTGGGGACGAAGTGAGAGTCTCCACTCAGTGTAGTAGACTCTCACTTCCCCAACTATCATTTTCAATTGTGATCGACCCACTCATTAGAGCGGAAAAGATTACTAAAATGTTCTGTTTTGTCTGGAAGCGTCCTTTTGTGACAGGTTTTTGGGGAATTTGAAGAAAAATGTAATTATAATTTTGTACAAAGCAAAACGAAACGTATGAATCCAAATCTAAAATGCAATTATACAGATTTGATTAGGAGATTGGTGGTTCTACGGAAAACGCAAAATGAATTCATTAAACAGACATACATCGGAATTCGGTATGTTACTATCTGACCATTAAATAACAGTAAGTTATAACTTACATTAGTTGGAACTGACTCAGTATCGGTAGCTATGTAACACTTAGTAGCAACGTCAAACAGTAACACTCTGTCCATCCCACAAGGCTCCTTGAGCGCGTTAAGCAGCGATTCAAACGTCGATAATAACTGGAATAACGACTAGTAATGATGTTATGAGTAAGAAAAAGATTACCGCTCAAGGATAGATTAGACTTGGGCGTTGTTTTTAACTATCCCCTGTTTAGAATTTGTATTTAATAAGTTTTATAGCCGAGGGAAAAGTTGTCATGGGCCAAGGCTCCAAGCATTTGGTGGGTTAAGGCGGGTCAAAAGCAATTTTATCATCTTTTCAAGATGAAATTGCATTTCATTGCATCTAATCTAAATTTACAGCAACTAAACTTAGCAGTAATCAAACTTCACGGAGATTATTTCATTGTATCGGATAAAAAAACACTATAAAATCACAAACTTCGTTCTTTGAAGTCTGAACATGCTTTCGAAAATTTGTGGACTTCATGACAGATAATACCGTAACATAAATGTGACGTGTAATAATCATCAATGTAACATAACCTATACTGACTAAATTAATTATAAGCTGACCTCAGGTATGAGCTTTTGTCCCACAATACTGAGAGCCTCAAATATGCTGTAATCGTAGACTGACGTCAACTGAGTTTTAAGATTGATGGATATCCCCGCTTCTGACAATTCGTCGTTAACTCTGAAGTTTATGTCCTTTAGAGCTTCCGCTCGCTGATCATCTGAGAGACCATCCACTTTGTGGATAAACACAAACACCTGCAAATAAATTGCCTTATGGGACAAAATTTTCGACAAATCGAGTTGAATAACTTGCGGATAGTGAGGCCATCAAATCAGCGAACACATATGTCGCGCTGCTGAAGAAGAAAAATAAACATCTCAAGTCAATCAGATACGTGTGATCTGCATTATTACTCGTGAACACACATTTGGGGTGATGACGAGCTTAGCTCAGGGGAGATTTGGTGGTCAGTTAAACAGATTACATCCCTTCTGATAGATATGGGACATGGGTTGCTTAGCTCAGGAACTTTTATCATAAAGGATGGCTCTCGTATTGTATGAGGGGGTTTGGAATAACTTGTGTAATTTTAGTTATTAGTCAATAGTCATATGGTTATTATTACGTACAATATAATATATGATATTACAAAAATAAACTATAATATATAGTTTATATATTATATATATTATAGTTTATTTTTGTAATATCATATATTATATTGTACGTAATAATAACCATATGACTATAAATTGAGCACAGACTAGCGGCAACTAATATTAATGGATAAGCCACACATCCTAAATTCCAGGTCCATATTTATACTGCCACATTCCCACTATCACTATTTTCCTATCAGCACAAAGCGTAATTGATTTTAACTATCACAACACTACATATTCAAACTTATGGCATATCAATATCTACGATATCCTAACTCAGTCCCAAACAAACTAAGCGCGAGTCTTAAAAGTTGCTGGAAGCACAGTGGGCTTTATCTTTTGTTTAAATCAATAAATCGCCCTTTTCATTTTTTTATTTATCAATTGCATGCAATTATTCTGTTTAAGATTTTATCTATATATGTTATATATTTAAAATTATGTAATAAAGTTATTATATTCGTAAACGTTGACTGGCTAATAAACCAGTCCCCAAACAACAACAAAAAGAATTATCGAGGATAATATGCGATGAAATAGTGAATATATGCATTCTTCAGAGTGAGCTGCAATATAGTATTCGTCCAAACTTTATTTTTAGATTTTGCACAGTTACTTAATTTGTAATTTTACTCCCTCCCAGCCGAATGTCAATTCCACAAGTTGCAGGAGGGTCTGTTGCTTTATGGCAGAGCTTAGACGTAGCATCCTGGGTAGTGGGTGTCTTCCATGAACAGTTTATGGTGTATTAAAAATGACTTAAGTACAAATTTATGTACACCTCTTCGTTTGTCATCCACGAGCTGAGTCTTAAGTACAAATTTGTATTTAAGTTGCATGATTTAAGTTCACACTTAAATAAGTGTGACTTTGGGAGTCGAACTTAACGTGCACTTGGGTGCAACTGTCGTTTTGAGAACCTGACATGGCGAATCAGATCACGTCACAGGCGCAACTATCGGTAGGCCTTTCGAATACACTTGTCCTCAAAAACAGGAGCATTACGTTGAATCAGGTGATTGGGTTGGCACTAGATCCCCACTATGGGAATCGTGCAGAAAGCCCAATTACGGTATCCAAGCACCATGTCACATGATTAACGATTAGGTAATCATTGATTACCCAATCAATTTTGCTAACGAGATAAACAAATTGCTTGATAACTTCGGAATTTTCAATCCGTTTCGCAGTTGAGTGTTTCGTCTAAAATTTAGGGTGGCACCAAGAAAAGTATTGGTGTATGTCCCCTTAATGTCAAGTCAATTGTAACAATTATATTAATTACAAAGCAAATCTTGCATTCCACGCACGTTTTGTGCCTGGTCTCAAGAGACAAGAATGCATGTACCAGGTGGCTCACAGTCATCAAAAGTTTCACTTATAATCGTATTAACTGGCCATTATTGTATTTTGAATGAGATTATCTCATCCAAATCTCAGTAAAAATAGAGATTCTCGTTCTTTTGACAATTAAATAAGAAACTCACTCCGCGTCTGCTCTAACATTAATGAGTCCCAACTAATAATACAATTATAATAAATGCATAAATAGTAATAAAAAAACTTTAGATAGCGAAGGAAGAAGGAGGCCTGACCTTTTTAAATGAACAATATTAGGTGGGCGGCAAAAAATAGCGATGGGGCGGCATGTTTCGACGCTGGTACAGATCAGGATATTTTGGATGCAGACAAGAATCAAGAATGACGATCGCGATCGGTAAATCAACTTTAAACGAGATTTAACAGAATTTCTAAATGAGCCAAAGCCCCAAAATTGTTGATAGCACACCGATATGTCCGGACCGTTGGTCACTTCACAACACGACGGGGAAACCGGATATCCAGCATAATGCCGTTATTAGCGTAGTGTCGCGTCGCTCGGCCGGGTAATTTAAGCAAGTACGTGCGTGATGCGCGCTGCGCTTATAATTATAATTGAAGCGCGGGAACATTAACATCCTTAACATCGCGTTCTCCAACAAAATATAAAGTAGACCCTTTCGAAGTATGTGCCGGAATTGACCTACGATCAAAACATTCACGTTAGCATGTGACTCTTTTCAATCTACACCACGGACCACCTAGAACTATAACATTATAACAGTACGGAGTTTTTTATAAAACGCTGTGCATACTTTATCGGCCCACAACTTCAAGTCATGTGGTTATTTTATCGCAAAATTTGCTGGGTATCTTGGAGATAAATAGAAGATTGTTGGTACAAAGTCTGAAGTCTCTACTCTCAAATCTGTTACATCAGATTAACCGAGTTTTACAAAAATCGAACTGTGGAATATTTTCGGACCATGGTATCTGTCACGTGATGAGGCGACCATAACACAGTTTCAGGAAACTTTAGTCATGGACCGGCAAAGTGTGCAAACCTTTTTACGTAGATTAAAACACCGTACCTCAATATTTTCAAGCATTCCCTTGTTATCCAGACCAACGAGTGTGTTAACTATCTTATCTAATGCCTCCTGAAATATAACATTTTGTAAAACGTCTACTTTAACTTAAAAGCTGTAATCAGTATCTAAAATTAAGTAAAAATAATATTTCACGCATAATTAACACCAACACTATCTAAATGATACAAAATAAACGGGTTAATATCAAACTAGAAGTACCTTATATTCTTCCAAAACATCGATAACAAAAATAAGAGCACATTTTCCATCAAAAATATGTGAGTAGTCTATTGCCGAGTCCTCCAATGCGTCTGCCTGAAAAATGGTTGGTAAAACAGAATGGGGATGAGAGCTTACTTTAGGTGAACATTTCGTTGATTCTGATAAAATCTTCAGGTTTTGTACGTAACAGTTCATAATTTGTATCTAGATGAGCTGCCAGGTTTGCAGTAACTTTCATAAAAGTATGAAATGGATTTTTGCTACTTTGCACGAGTTTTTATTTAGGTATGTGTAGAATTAAAGCAGAATGCTTCATAAATCTCGCGGCACAGGAGATGGTTGGGGTTGTGCCCACCTATGCTACAATGAAAGCTGTACCGAGAGGGCCGTGGTCGAAACGCAATTAGTCAGGGAAATAGGATCCCTGCGGTCGACAAAATTATCATTATCAGTATGTATTATAATGTACGTTATTACACAGAATCAGGATATTGATTTCGAAAGAGTTTTAAGACAAATTTTCAATCGTGGTAAAAAAGCCTTTTTCTATGAAAAAACATCTATCTAAAATTGCTGATAAGAGATATATTGTAACAGTATTAATACATAATTCTAAGAATTATGAGAATGACACAAGATATGATTATACATATAAATATGTACTGAAATGTTAACATTATTTTGATACCTACTTGCCCAGGAAAATCGTAGATAACATAGTCTATAAAACAGTTCTTAGAAACGTCCTCGTGCTCCAACTGGAATGTTAGAATGTGGTTAAAATCAACAGCACAACAATATCAACTAGAGCTGCAATGTGTGATAAAAAAGCAAGTCAAACCAGTTTGATAAAATCAAGAAAGTGAACTCTACCTTGGTGGTGCTTTCCAGAAATATCGTCTCATTTGCACTCATCTTATGAAACACCACCTTCCTGATACTGGTTTTGCCACTTCTTCGCAGACCAAAAAGTAATATTTTCGGTTTGACATCATTAATGTCTTCTTCTACTTCGGGATCATCCAGTGGAGGAGGGTTTATGGCTTGTGTTATTGGTCTCTGAAATGTTCATTGATCTAATGAATTTTGGAATGTGTGGTGATGGGGAAATGATTTGAATGGTTTTTTGAGGGTTCTGAGATTCTTCATGGTGATAAAACTTGTATTGTGTAACTAAGATCCTTTAATCATTATTTATTTGAGACATTGCATTATTACTTGAAATCTCGCATTCTTCTACACTGTATATTATGTTTTAGAGATAAGACCTCATTTAATTAGGCCGAATGTGAAAGTCTGATATTTACAGCTCTATAATTACAAGTTGATCACAAAAATTTTTAAAATTACGAGTTTAATTTTACATACTTGACTGTAGGAGTTAGGAATTTGGTCATCATCATCATCAACATACATTCCTAGAGAAAAATCCTTTCGATAAATATATCGTACAATAATAATGAATAATCTGCAATTAATTTTTTAATGCATTATTTGCAATAAACTATCATTTAGTATTCAGAATATATTCTATAAATATGCATTGATCATGGCTAAACATTATTGGTCGTTTTGAAAGTGTCATGATACAAGAATTCATGGCGGTCAGTTTTTATCGAATCAAAAAATATCCATCGCAAGTCACAACCGAAGATACAACCGATTAAGATGTAGCTCGCACTGAACACAACGTAATAACAACAAAAACGATCAAAATTCCATTCCAACAATCTTTGCAGGTGCACGTTCAACAACTCTCGTTACTATGGTTACTATGCAACTTCTATTTGTTTACCTAATTTGCACGTGGGCGGTCGTACATACAGACAGACAGACTAGAATAATTCTTTGAATTATAATAATGATTAGAAAGCTCGTGTTAAAAGGGAGGAAGCTAGTAGTATTCTTTAAAATAAATCACATACAGAAATATTCATCCCAACCGAAGATACAGCCGATTTAAATGTAAACAATTTAAACACAACATAATTACCACAAAATTGGGTTGCAGAGTTCTCCTGATTCCTCAGTTTTTTAATGTGGTTTTTGTTCTTGTTCAGTTCTGTCCATATTTTCTTCCTCAAATTATTTGTTACGACTTCCGCGACTCATGCTGGTTCAGAAAGGAAAACCAAAGTGTTTTAATCATGTGATGCAGGCACGTGAAATATCGTAGGGGAGCGGACGATAATAAGATAAATAATTTAAATAGTTCAGAAAAATATAAATATTGTATTGTATCAGATGTATATCAGGTGTATATCAGTATCTATATCCTAAGCATTAAATAGCCATTCCCCATGTAGCAATGGTTAACACGTCATTTACACGGGTTTACACTTCCTGTGATAATGGTAATTAGGCGTCCTAAAAATGGTTTAAATCCAATATCCATTTGTTGAGCACGTTTATGTTAATGTTAAGTTGAAATAAGTAGCCCTTTTTTTGGGAAGCCCTGGATGATGCTTTCACCCCTTCAGGAAAGCACGTTCCCAATTTTTTTGATAATTGCACTCTTCATGCGGTTTGAAAAGTAACTAGTTTCCTGTTAATGTTCGACCTTAACTATTTTACTGTTTACATTTGCCTCAACAAAGCGCGTATCTTTAGATAAAGTGAAAAGTTTTAGTTAAGAAAACATACGGGCAACCTTACTGTTATCGTTCAACATAAGCATTTCAATTTATTCGTTCGCTTATTTTAAAATCAGTTTCTTCGAGTATAGTTGTAGCTTTGCATTGAATGGAGACTTAATTTAAGTTGTAATAATTTCAACTTTTCAATTTTTCAGACCAGAGCTGAGTCCAGAACTAGTTGTCCATGGCAGAAGTTCGTGAACATAACCGAAAGAGAGAAAAACTGTTCAAAATTCTCCCTTTTTGGACTCTTGTCTCTGTTATTTTTATCCTCTTCTTGAAACCAAACTTTGGGTCTGTTATTTCAAGTGAATATTCAAAAGGCAATGTTACCAATGATTCATCTCACTCCACCTTCTCACCAGTGGATCGAATAGCAAATAAACCGGACTATGGCAATGTTAAACTATAAAGCTGTTAGTCCACCCAACAAATGGAAATGCAGGAAACCAAGACATACTTACTATTTTCCTAAAATCAAGACCATATTCACAGGCATCCCCAAATCCGGGTCTTCAAACTGGAAAGAGTTCCTAATGAGAGCGGAAGGTACCTTAAACATGAGTTTAGGACCAAGTCAAGTCAATACCATTCACAAGTTGTATTCCGATGAGTTCCGGTTAGACGCTCATTCAAATGCTGCTGAAGTTAAGAAGGCAGTTACAAGAGGTGAAAATATTTTCAGTTTTGCAGTGGTTCGCAACCCCTGGACCAGGTTAGTCTCCGGGTACAGTTTGATTTGGTTGGTCTTAATACTCTATAGCTTCTATTAAGTCATTCCTAAAATCGGAAATTTGATTTTCTTTGCGAGTTCTTTACTTAGAACTGGGATGAAGCTGCTAGTTTTTTATTTCTTTGGCAGTCAGTTTTTATCGAATCAAAAAATATACATTTATACATCACAACCGAAGATACAACCGATTAAGCTGTAGCTCGCACTGAACACAACGTAATAACAACAAAAACCATCAAAATGCTATTCCAAAAATCTTTGCACGTGCACGTTCAACAACCCTCGGCCTCGTCACTTACTATGCAACTTCCTATTTCTCATCAAATTTGCACGTGGGCGGTCGTACATACAGAGTACAGAAAAAATAATTCTTTGAATTATAATATAGACTAGAAAGCCCGTGGTCACACGGAGGAAGCTAATTAGGGTTGCCATTATCGCGATGGGTACAATTTCTTTTATCGCGATAATCGATAACTTTTTCAAAATTATCGCGATAATATCGGTTATCGGCGATAAATTTGGCAAGATAATAAAAGTAATATTTGTCTGCACTCTGCATACTTGAATTATGCTCCTATGCTATGTAACCTTGTTACATCAGTCATCATCATTATATAGTTACAATATCATTAATTTAATTTAATTTTCAAAAATGCAGAAACATTGAATCATGACAAATCCTTAAAGGATGACGTAAATGAGTTTTTAACTTTTGGCAAAGATTTTGTGGTGCATGTTACGTTAACTTAGGCCTCGAATACTCTAATATGATTAAAGAACGGAATTTCTAGCTTCCACATAAATGGAGATATCAGTTATCACGCACGTCGCACACTAAATTTCTCGCTGCACACAGAACGTTCCTAGTTTGGAATGTAGTTCCCTCTCAGTACAGTGTTTATGTGATGTTTGCCTTCTTTTTTCCGTTCGTTAGAAGGCTCGATATTTCATTTTTGAAACGTTTGGATCGTTAAATTATTATTGAACATAATTGTACGAGAAAGTTTTACATCGGTATTTGACATAGAACAGACTTTAAAACCATAAAACATCCATTAAAACGCTCTAAATTCGCGAGTAAATTGCTCCCGGTAAGAAGTCATTGTATTTTCCGGCTGGGGATGGAGGAGGACTCAGGAGGAGGACTCGGGAGGACTCAGGAGGACTCGGACTGATGAGGAGGAGGACTAATGAGGAGGAAGATGAGGAGGAGGAGGAGGTCTGAGTAGGAGCTGAAGAGGAGGATGAGTACCGGAGAGGAGGAAGGCTGATGATGAGGAGGAGGAGGAGGAGGAGGAGGAGGAGGAGGAGGAGGAGGAGGAGGAGGAGGAGGAGGAGGACTGCTGAGGTGCTGAGGAGGAGGATAAGGAGGACTGAGGACTGCTGAGGAGGAGGAGGACTGGTGAGGAGGAGGAGGAGGAGGAGGAGGATGAGGAGGACTGAGGACTGCTGAGGAGGAGGAGGACTGAGGAGAAGGAGGACTTAGGAGAAGGAGGACTTAGGAGAAGGAGGAGGAGGAGGACTGAGGAGAAGGAGGACTGCTGAGGAGGAGGAGGAAGAGGACTGAGGAGGAGGATAAGAAGAAGGGGGAGGAGGGGGAGGAAGAAGAGGGGGAGGAGGATAAGGAGGAGGGGGAGGAGGAGTGGGAGGAGGAGGAGGGGGAGGAGGGAGAAGAGGAGGATGGAAAGGAGGAGGAGAAGGAAGAGGATTGAGGAAGCATCTAAATTAGACCGGTTCATTTTAGCAAAAGTTGTTCAAATAATTAGAAATTGAAAATATGTTTAAACAAAATGCCATCATCACATTTATATTAGAGTAGAAAGTCTCAAAGCACAGAAATGACGCTATCATGTTAAAAAATGCGATTTTCCCTATTTTACCTGTATAAGAAACGCTATAAAAATGGGCGTGGCCCATGAAGACATTATCCGAAACACTAGAGTCAAAAAAATTTTTTTGGTTGTTCCTGACCCTATAGAGCAACTAATAAGATAGGGTTTCTAATTATTTGAACAACTTTTGCTAAAATGAACCGGTCTAATCTAAATGTTATTCTCATAACATTTGTTGTCCTTTTTTGTCCGCCCTACTTTATGTCCGTTTTGAAAATATAGGGTACCGAACGGACAAAAACGGACACAAAACATGGTCCGGAAGCCGAAGCAAACCGTATAAAAATCGGACGATCACGTCTGCTAAATACTTAAATAGTGTGTTTACACAGTACTGAGAGGGCAGTTCTGAGCATAGGAACGTTCTACGTAACGCATCACTTTCTTAATTTAGCTGTAGCGTGGCGTAGGAAGTAGATAGAGATTCCGAACTTTCACAGAGCAATTACATATTATGACATAGCGCAATACAAGCATGCCCCAGATACACAGTACAAGGTAGCATTACGTCATCCTTTAATAAAATTAATATCGGTAAATTCGAACTTCAAAGATAAAAATAGAAAACTTTGATAGCATTATCGTGTGCTTTATTGCTTAATGCTTTGTTATAGAATCAATTGCAATATTGGCATTGCCCTTTAATAACAAGCCCCTATTTCATCGAGTAGAACGTTACCAGCGATACGAAGTTGAGACCGTTCTTTCTCTCGACATATCGTGTACGTAGCCTATCAAGAAGGGTTCGAGAAAGTGGCGAGTCTATGTCTTGACTCTTCCAGCTTGCTATCAATAAACTGAATATTCACTTCTGCTTAAGCAGAAATAATTCTCTGAATTATAAGTAAGATGACTAGAAAACCCGTGGTCACTTGAAGGACTCTAAATGCTTAGAGGTAGTACCTGCAAGTGTATTCATTAAGCATTTAGAGTCCCGTAAAACTGCAGTTACAAGTTTGCTAGAGTATTTTGTATTTTTAGTAATTACGATCGATATCGGATACATAGTTACAAAATGTAAATCTCCAACTTTTTGCACAATGAACTGGAATGTTTTTTTTAAGTGGTATAAAAATGAAATAAACGATTTAATTTTTAGGAAAGTAAAATTAATTCCCTTGGTTTCTTAGTCAGTTTCAAAGTATGTAACGTCGATACCAAAGAGTCAGAACGAAGTCCAGAACTAGTTGTCCATGGCAGAAGTTCGTGAACATAACCGAAAGAGAGAAAAACTGTTCAAAATTCTCCTTTTTTGGACTCTTGTCTATGTTATTTTTATTCTCTTCTTGAAACCAAACTTTGGGTCTGTTATTTCAATTGAATATTCAAAAGGCAATGTTACCAATGATCTTCATCTCACTCCACCTTCTCACCAGTGGATCGAACAGCAAATAAACCGGACTATGGCAATGTTAAACTATAAGGCTCTTAGTCCACCCAACAAATGGATATGCAGGAAACCAAGACATACTTACTATTTTCCTAAAATCAAGACCATATTCACAGGCATCCCCAAATCCGGGTCTTCAAACTGGAAAGAGTTCCTAATGAGAGCGGAAGGTACCTTAAACATGAGTTTAGGACCAAGTCAAGTCAATACCATTCACAAGTTGTATTCCGATGAGTTCCGGTTAGACGCTCATTCAAATGCTGCTGAAGTTAAGAAGGCAGTTACAAGAGGTGAAAATATTTTCAGTTTTGCAGTGGTTCGCAACCCCTGGACCAGGTTAGTCTCTGGGTACAGTTTGATTTGGTTGGTCTTAATACTCTATAGCTTCTATTAAGTCATTCCTAAAATCGGAAATTTGATTTTCTTTGCGAGTTCTTTACT